TTATGTCTCTGTCCTAAGTCAACCGCCATGACCAGTTCCTCGTACAACGTTGGCCGTTTTTCCTCAAGTCGTTGTCTTTGCGAATAAAGTGCAGGTTCACCGCAAATGTGCCTCGAGTTCGGGCGGACACGATGGCATTTTTTGGAAGTTGGGATGCCGCTTTTGGAGGCCAACTTGCGAAGCGCCGGCCACCCACCAGACCCACACCACCATGCCATCCAGTAGCGCCCAATTAATTTTAATGAGAGCTCAGCACATATAAGTTCACCGCAGTAGAGGGTTTTGCCAAATTATTATCCTCCTGGGCCTCGCTCTTTCAAGCTAAAGACATGACGGCTACTAAGAGTCTCGCTCTCATCCAACGCCCTCCAGAGTACTACCGATCAAAACGTCAACGGCTTGCCACAAATTGTGATGTTAAAAGGCGACATGCTCCCACAACCAAAGTCAACATGCATGGTGTCAAAGAGAAATGGACACGGTAAGAATACTTTTTTCAGAACTTTGAGTGGTTGCTGACAATTCAGGCACTGTGCACATTTGCAGACGGACCCCCAAGATCATCTGCTGCAGTCCACAAAGGAAGACATCATGACCTTTCTGGAATGGATGCTAGACACGCACGGAAAAATACGCAAAAGAAGCACAGTCCATGCTTACAAGAGAATACTCTTCCAAGTGTACCGAAAATCAGCTGGAGTCGACTTTGACAAACTAGCAAACGAAGATATCAACGATGTGAGATTTTTGAGACTTCCGCCTGCCAACTGACTTCTGACGCCTCCCGGCTGCGGGGCTTAGTATATTAACGGCTATTTGACGATTCGATACAATCTCGATACTTCGGTCAAGGAAAAACCTGTCATGAATATCGACGATGTCTATCTTGTTCTACACCACCATTGGGTGCTCGACACATCGGTGTTCCCCGATGAGCGGCAACGCATTCAACTAGCCCTTCTGATTCTCATTCAAGCATACACAGCGACTCGTCCTAGGGTTCTTGCCTATAAAAAGCTCAGTGAGAAAGCTATCGCGGATCACTACTACGGCAGCGAGAACGGGGAAGATCAGCCAAAATATGCAGAAGATTGGGATGCAGAAGAAGATGATTTCAAGACCATTTGCTACAGGGACGTGAAATTGGTCCTTTTGAAAGATCCTGATGGCGGAAGAGACCTTCCGGTCATGGAGGTGACTCTAAGGTTCACGAAAGGTTGGGAGCGAAGGGAAAACCCGTAAGTATGAACCTGGCAGCCTCAAGATTAATTACTAATCGAGCTAGAAAAACCTTCATCTTCTATGAGGTAGACACGCTCTTATTTGATGCAATTCTTCCATTTCTTTCTTTGGCACTGTTGGACAATGCTTTCAAGTCAGACGTTCAAAGTGTAGAAGATTTCTACAGGATTAGGGTTCGCGCGCCGCGACACTCGATAGACTTTGACTGGAAAGACGACATCAAAGACACCCCAATCTTTCGGCAGGCATTGGTAGCTCATGAGGGAACGATTCAAACATCACCCACCGAGGCGCTACACTATCATACCTATCTTTATTATCTCCAAAGACTCGGTCTTACCACAGGTTTTATGCAGATACTGAATCCGTACTGCATTCGACGAGGATCCGGCGAGGCAGTTGAAGGTGAGCATACCTATGGTCATAAATCTTATAGCGTGCTGACAGGCCCTAGCCGTCGGAACTCAAGCGCAGCTGCAGCAGGTTATACAGCACAAAGAGGCAGCAACGTACCAGGCCTACATCAACCAACGTGTGCAGTGTGACACGGTGGCGGCATTCCTTGGTCAACCCTCAAATAAGGCCTTGCTAAAAGCAGCAGGCCACATGAGCCGTTTTGTCGATCCTCGTGCACCGACACATGCGAGCACCGTGAAGCTGAACGAAATTAAGACGGATACAACGCTTATCAAGTTCATTGAACTGCGAGATTCTCTTAGCTCAGAGGTGCGCCGAGAATCTGGAACTATTAAAGAGGCTAAATCAAAAGGAACTAAGTTATACTAGATGTATCTCACTGTGGAAAGCAAGGTACGGTCGACTAGAGCTTACCTCCGAAAACTTGCTAAAACCGCCACGCGAAAAGAATTTTTTAATATAATCAGCATAACCGAAATTAATACACAGCTGCGCAATGATGCTAACTTAGATGCTAGAGACTAGTAGCCGTAAACTAACTATAGTTTATCTAAGCGTTGACTTCTTGCGGAGCTAGTTTACGTAGACACGAGCAGGCTAGATGACCCTACGAGGCTTAAACATAGGCTATATACCACTTATGCTATGTTATCACTTAGCATACGGAAGGAAGCACGGGTGCCAAAATTAGCGCCAAAGCTCAATGCTCTATGCAGAACACAGAAATGCGAGAAATACTAATGTTTTATGTGCTTCTGGGATAAGACTATTGTACTAAATTAAAGGTTTCGCAAATTCTGCTCCCCCTATCGTTTAAGAGATCATCTGCTTTCGCAGCATCTGAAGAATATTGGCCAACGCTCTGTGCAATGCCTAGCTCCGTAATGCGCAGAGAAAAAGGCCATATTCCACACACTGCCTGCTTTTCAACGTCATTTGGCTGAGCATCATGACTATGATATTTATAAAAGATACAAAGGCCAATAAAAATGCCACTGATTGCAATACGAATGACTTACAGCCGCGGCTTGTCAACGTGGTGACTGCCTGAGTGTCATATGTAGGGGTCAGCTAGGGGTAACAGTAATCCTGAAGGTCAAGTAGACAGATTGCCCAGTTCCGGCGCCTGGAGCCATTACCTTCCTGGTTGATGATATTGGCAGCAACACATGTGAATCTATGAGAATATAGCGCTATATCTGGGTGTATGGGATATTAATGTTAATTTGTTTAATTTTGCCTTGAGACAAACAATTGACTACGCGGCCAACTGAGTGCTGGGCAATCGTTGCCCATGCAAAAGTTTGTAGTTTAAGCGGCTTGGGCACTTTAGTGGATTACAGCGGTGTCTACTGCCAGCATGGTTTACAGGCTGGGTAGTGCCACCCTCAGGCGCCGTTATCTTTACAGGCTGGGTTGTCTGTAGGCTGGTCCCTGTAGTCTCAATCGCACCCTAGCCTGCTTTTCTTTTTTTTTTCTTTTTTCTTGCAAACTGGCGGTCCCCTTGTCCTCTGCGTAAAGATGCGCGTTTCCCAACGGCTCCCGCCTGAAGATTCGGGGGCATGGCGGGGCATAATCGTAGGGGAGAGCAAATAATGGGCCAATCAGAGCGCGTTGTACAACAGTTGTACAACAGCCCAAAAGTGTAGTTTAAAGAATCCGGGGCCAAACTACACAACGCGTTGTACAACGTGTTGTACGTACAATTTTGCCCATGTATGGAAGAATCCCACTCAGTGATGCCGCTATGGGACAGCTGAAAGCTGCGCAAGAAAGAGAGCAACAGCCGATTGAGAGGATCCGCCAAAAGGGCGAGACATTCGTTATCAGCGAAGCTGAGAAATGACCGAGGTAACTGCAGAAGCATGGAGAGCTGGAATGGTTTATTTACAGTGCCGCCTCTTCACGTAAGTCGGAGCCTTGCCGCTTCATTGCGTCGAAATAAGCTGGCTGACCCAGTGTGGCTAACAGACAGACCGTCTGGCAGACCACTTCAGACCGCAGACCGACCGACCGGCGATTGTCGTCAGACCGACAGACCAGAGCAGCCGGTCGGATTGGGTGGTCTGAGTCGGTCTGGGATAGGATGTTATTAGGGCCCTATTGGTCGGCCTGGTAGTGAGGTGCCCCACAGGCAATATCCCTATTTTAGGTGAGCAGTTTCGCCGGTGACAATAAGTGGGGCTGTAGCAGAAGTAGCCAATGAGAGGGTTGCATAATCAGACCCAGACCGACCGGCCCCTCGACTCCAGACAAACCTTGACCGACAGACCACAAGCCCTCGTGAACCCAGACCGACAGCCCGAACGGGCCGGTCTAGGTCTGTCGGTCTGATAGCCACACTGGGCTGACCTTTGACAAGACTCCCTCGAAAACATCCTGCGGTTGTTGCCAATATGGCCGACTTGGCCAAGAGCATCTCTATCATGCCAGGCATCTCTTGAACCAGTCTTTCTCCTCGGACTGTTGGCCACCGTTGAAGATCAATTCCGAATCGCACACGAATGGTTTCAGCAGGTCATTGATACTTCTGCTCGCAGTGTAAGTTTGTAAGCCAAAAACAATCCATAATCTTTCCTAATGTTGCTAGTTGCTATTGCGAACAAAACTCCTGCAGCAGAGTGTCGCAATCTATGATGCTCTGGTGGGCATCCCAGAGTTGGATAAACAATGAAATTCCAGTGCCTGCGCCAACCATGGAACTGCCCCGTACCATTACCGAGAGGCAACCCTGGTGGGAGCGTATGGTGTCTAAGGTTCAGGAAAAGGAGGTTGAAGTCCTGTGCCTGACATGAGGAGCTGAGTACGAGCCACGACGCCGTGCAGCTCCAAGGGGCGAAATGCCTCCCATCTATAGCCGATGCCCAATTAACAGCCGACAAGAATCGAAACGAATGCAAGCACGCCTCGCCACATGGATCGTCCCAGGGTTGGACATCTATCGAATCTATCGAATCGAATGCCAAGACATGGCGTTCGAATCGAATGCGACCCCTGAAGACTCGAATCGAATCGAACGTGCCTTGTCAAGATTCGCTTCGAATCGAACGTGGCTAACACAGATTCGAATCGAATATGGAAGCTGTGCCGTAGATTCGATGTCTATCGAATGCCAAGGCTCGATCGAACTCGATTCGAATTCGATCGATTTTATGAATAATCAATCCTAAGTATATCATAGTATAGACTTTGAGCGTTTGAGATTATTTTCTCCCAGCGTATTCACAATGTCAGGCTTTAGCAGTATTATCATGAAAAAACATCTTCAATCTACCCGAATACTATATCATTCGCTGCCTTTCAAAGACGCGAGTG